TCAATGCCAACCCGGGCAGGAAGGTCTGTGAGACTCTTATCTCCAATGAACCACCAGAAAACTGGAAGTGGAGCTGTGGCTCAAGTGGTAGAGCTCCAGCCTTGAGCAAAAAAGCTCTGGGACAATGTCCAGGACCTGAGTTCAAGCCCCCTGAGTTCAGCAACAAAAACAAACTACTCTTCTTTGATCCTTACGTGGGCAGGAGCCTTGGTTTATTCAGAAATGGCACCAAAAATGGAGACAATCAAAGCCTCTGGCGGCGCCAAGCCCCTTGGATTCAGGGTGAATCATTCACAATGCTCCAGGACACCGCCGGTGACCCTGCTTAGGCTGGGGAGTTTTCCAAGCACACCTTTTGCTCAGAGACACCTGCACACTTGCTAAGTAAACACAGCCTCTCTCGGCAGTCAGGCTGTCTCAGTGGAATTCTGCCTGGGTGTGTCAGACACACAGAACCAATCACAAAGCTGTGTAAGGGTCGGGAGGCGCCCTGCAGAGGACCGGCTGGCTCCAGTGCCACTCATAATATGCAAAGTGAGGCTGCCATCTTCTGATGGAACATTCTAGAAGAGACTTCTCCCAGGATGTGAGGAAGGAAGACATAGGTAGGAGCCTGTTCTAACATATGAGTGTAATTGGAGTCTGGCAGGAAGAAACACCTTCCCTCGGTACCTGTTGAGACTAGCAGAGGTGGCCGCGGGGCCTTGCAGACCAGGCTCCTGCGCAGGGTGCCTCTAGGAAGGCTTTCCTACGCAGGCCCACTGGAACTGAGCCCGGCTGAGCCCGGCTGGGCGTACACACAGGAGACCAGCCTGAGAAGGTGGCTGGGGGCAAGCTCAGGACCTGGATTGGAAAAGGGCACGTCCTGGCGGGGTAGTTCCAGCAAGCAGCAAAATTCCACCTTTGTCCTTGGCTCCTGGCACGCAGGTCCCCAAACCCTCAGTCTCCCAAGTGATGGGATAGAGAGCTTCAGGGGGCCTGGAATCCAATCCAACGACCCACTGGGCAGTCTCTGTCAAGTCAAAGCAATGAAGCCTCCGGCCAGGTGGTGGGTGTGCATACGGCACCCTGGGAAGGGTCCCACCCCACCCTCCCCACACCCCCACCTCTCTTCTACTTGGCTGGTCCCGAGTCAGACCCTCTACCATAACTACATACAGCAAGGAAACAGAGTTCCATGAGCCATCTCTACAAGGTATAGCACTGATGCTCCGACAGTGCCAGACAGTCAGAAGAGACCAGGCCTGGAACTAAGATGGTGGTGACAGCTGCCTGAGACTAGGGTCAGAGGGACTTGAGTTGAGGACAGCCAGCTGATGCCAAAGAGTCGGAGGACTGGGCGTCAGTGGAAAGCATGGCTCTGAGCGGACACAGTTCCAGCTGCTCCCGACGGCTGGAGGCCGCAGGGTGTGCATCCTGAGCCTGACCTCCGGCTGCGGGATACCCCACTCTGTGGGCAACGGGGTGAGGCCGCCAGGGAACCAGATATTTGCAAAGACAAGTCCTGTGGCTCAGGCAGGAAAAACTTTGAAGCTGAGGGCACCCCCTCCAGGGCAGGCTGGTTCTGATCTGTGAGGGTCCAAAGGGGGCTGTGGCCAACTCACAGAGGACAGAGCTCAGGCTGCCACAACCTTTCCATCACTTTCGGACGTACCCTGGAGATGGGTTGGCGGGGGAGTGTCCCCAACCTAGCTCATCACTGTGTCACAGAACCCTGGAGATCAGGGTGGGGGAGGGCATCCCCATCCTAGCTTGCAGTTCTTCTCGGGAATTACAGAGTAGGGGCCGTGTGAGGGCGCTGGCCAGGACTTCAGTGGAAGTGTAGAAGCAACCGAGAGATGCGTGCTCTACACAGCTGAGCCTGGCCACTAATGAAATTAAAAAGAGACATCAATGTCTTCTCTTCAGTTGATAAGAGGATATTGGGCAATGTCTCGGTGCCACAGAGGTGTGGATGGAGCTGGTTCCATGCCCTCCTAAAGGAAATGAAGCCACGAGTCCAGGAAATGAAAAGCCAAGGGGCCACAGGAGAATGAACACGATCACTTCCCTCCCCCACTCCACGCGCCCAGAGGCCTGGGCAGGGGCACAGGCTCAGGATGCAGGCTTGGGCATATCCATGAGGGGGCTTCTGGGGGTGGGAGCCAGAGGGTCGGTCCACCTGACCACCAGACCATGACAACACAGAGGACAGCGCCAGCCAGGTCCATGAGAAAGCAGAGACAAGGGCTCTTTCCTCACTGGGCCAAGAAAACATAAACGTCAAGGATGATGGGGAAAACTGCCGTAAATGCACACAAGACCATGCCCATCTTCCCACTTCTCTCCAGCAGGTAATAAGTTGCCAAGAATGAGGTTAAGAGCCCCATCCAGGTTTGTACACTTCCACATCCGATTTCTGCAACTGCGTTATCACAAACACATGCTCCAAGGCTCCCTTCCTGGCAATGCATCAAGACCCTTAAAAACATGTCCACTTTTCCCCAAGTACGTCTGCTTATAGAAACCTGGATAGGGCTAGGAAGGTGGCTCAGTGGTAGAGTGCTTGCCTTGCAAGCCTGAGGCCCTGGGTTCGATTCCTCAGCACCACATGAGCAAAAAGAAAAAAAAAGCCAGAAGTGGTGCTGTGGCTCAAGTGGTAGAGCACTAGCCTTGAGCTGAAGAGCTGAGGGACAGCGCCCAGGCCCAGAGGTCAGGCCCCACACTGGACCCCCCCCCCAAAAAAAAAACCTGGATAAACACGCGCGTACACACCAATGCCAGGGGCAGTGAGAACAGCTACAACTCAACAACACTCCAACACTCCCCCTAAATTAATTCATTCCAGCCCATGCCCAGCTCAACTGACACAGACTCAAAGCTAAGCCACATGGAGAGAAGGCCAGAATCCAACATGGTGCTCGGCCTTTCAAAACAGCCACAGCTCAGTGGAGTGGGTTCCACTGGGCCCAGGCTAAGATTTCCAAGAATTTTATCAACATGGGAGGAAGCAGAGTAAGTGCTTCCTAATCTAAATGGTGGGGAAAATAAATGAAAACAGGTCAGACATACACACCAAAGCATGAGCAGGGCTGGCTCTCCAGCAGTTCACGATGTAGGAGACAATTAGATGAGTGTAGTAGATTCTTCTGGTTTGCATGAGACAGAGTAGACAGGGCACAGCCTGCAGCCTGTCCTCACCTGGGAAAGCGATCTCCATGGTCATAAATTTGGGGGCACTTGATAAGATCAGTAAACCACAGCTCAGCCCAAGTTGTAAGCAACTCTTACCATGTGAAAGAAACCTTTGAAAAAGCTACATATGTCTACTTTTTTTTTTTATTCTTATGATGAATTCTATATACTATAGAAGGTAGCATCTTAACAGTTTCTAAGTATACAGCTAAGTCTCTCCTCGGGACCCACAGGTTTTGTTTTGGACAGTAACAGGATTGGAACTCATGGCTTTGTGTTTGAGAGGCAGGCACTCTACCACCCGAGTCATATCCCCAGCTCTGCACAGCACTTGCCAAGCAGTCACAGGGGAAGTGTAAACACAAAGAACTGAGAAGGAGAGCAGCTGGATCTCAGAACGACAGCCACTGCAGGGGGGAGGGGAAGGTCAGAGGGCAGGGCTTCTCTCTAGATGGTAGCTTAAATCTATCATCTTAGCCAGGCGCCACTGGCTCACCTAGCTACTCAGGAGGCTGAGCTCTGAGGATGGCAGTTCAAAGTCAGCCCAAGCAGGAAAGTCCATGAGACTCTTATCTCCAATTAACCACCAGAAAACTGGAAGGGGCTCTGTGGCTCAAGTGGTAGAGCACTTGCCTTGAGCTGAAGAGCTCAGGGACAGCGCCCAGCCCCAGAGTTCAAAAGCTCCACAACCGACAAAAAACAAAAATTAAATTAAAAATTACATTCTTCGGGGAGGAGTGAATTTTATAATGTCTATTATCTATACGTGTGAAAATAGCACAATGAAACCCACAAAAAACTGTTAAAAAGAGATCCAGGTGCTGGTGGCTCTCCCGTTTCCTACCCTGGCATCATACACGGAGGCATGTCTTCAAGGTTTATTATGGGGTGGTGCCTATCAGTGCTGCTTTCCCTTTTTAAAGGCTGAATGCTATTCCCACACAGCTCACCTTCTCCTGGGCTGACGTCACCAGGCTGGAGACGTCCCCCACTGCCAGCTCCAGGGCCTGTGGCTGCGGGTCCTGCAGGAAGGAGAGGGGCAGCGGACCCTGGAGGAGAAGAGAAAAGCAGTACGCTTAAAAAAAACAAAACTATAAACTGTCTATAAAAAGCTTGACATTGAAGACACATAACACAAATTCACCACATGGTTAAATATCACCAGGTTCATAATCCTGAGGAGCAGCCCTTGGCAGGCAGGGCCCGGGATGGGGAAGGATGGGAAAGGACCATCATCAACAACACCCCCAGACCATGCGGGAAGGCATGCGTCAAAGAGGGTGTGTCAAATCCTAAGACAGCTCTTCATGGTCCTCTGTGGGACCCGTAGGTGGCTGGCCTGCAGCTAGCGGCCCTAGCTTTCTGGTGGCAGTCTCCTCTCTGGTTGGCGGGAGCAACCTCAACCTGGTGCACAGGCCCACTGTGACTCCAACCCCGTGACAGTCCCACTGCCCAAACAATGCAGGGGTGGGAGGAAACCCCAGGCCCTGCCTCTCCTGGAGAGCTGGGCAGACAGACAGGATGTCCTCAGCCCTCCAGAGCTGTCTGGCTTCTACTGTCTGTCCTCATCATTCAAGACCACCATCAGCCCTGCTCACACACCGGCTCCTTCTGTAAAGGCTGCCATAGCTGTATCAGCTTATGGTTCTTGAATTTAACAAAATCTCCAAAAGACTTTCAGGCCCTGGTGGCTCCCATCTGTAATCCTAGCTACCATAGAGGTTGAGATCTGAGGATCATGGTTCAAAGCCAGCCCAGGCAGGAAAGTCTGAGAGACTCTAATCTCCAGTAGACCCGCAAAAAGTTGGAAGTGGAGTTGTTGCTCAAGTGGTTACTCAAGTACCAGCCTTGAGTGTAAGAAAGCCAGGTAAAGAGTGCAAGGTCCTGAGTTCAAGTCCTAGTTGTAGCACACTCATATAAAAAAATTGTCCAAAAGAGAGACGGGCAGTTAGATTAATATGACCACAGACCCCAAGACTAACACTTTATAAAAGAGCAAACACGGACTGCAGTAGCCAACCAAGTCTTGTCCTCCTAAAAACAAGCTTTCCACAGAGGCTCACCATACATGGGAGCAATAAGATAGCTCCTTCCTTCAGACTCCTGTCCTGACATGCTACAGAAAGCACATCAGCACTCAACAAGTTCTGAGGATGGGTGAGGATGCAGGCCGCCCCTTCGCCTGTGTGGGCTCCACTCCAGAGACTCCTGATGATGAGCTAGTTCCAGCGATGGGACTTGGCCCGGGGTGGGGGACAGAAATGGTGCCAAAGCTGTGGGGGCCAGGGTGGTGCAAAGAGCAAGCAACGAAGTGGCCGCCCAGCGGCATCTGAGGAGTTCCCAGTTCATCAAGGCAAGGACCACTTTGATTTACAAGCTACTAACCTCACCCTGAACGCACGACACCCACCTCACCCCCAAACGTCACCAGGGAAGCATGAAATGGAGCATCAAGAAGGATGAAGTCAGTTTCTGGCTGTTCTTGTGACATCGCCCTGGCTGGAGCTTGTTATGGTGGGGGCCGCAGGCCAGAGGCTCTGGGAGCTGACAGAAGTGTTTGAACCAACCACATGGCTCAGAGGAGAGCACCTCGCACAGAGCCAGAGGCAGGCACCAGCTGCCAAGGAGAGCGAACTGTGCTGTGCCCGTTCTGAGCAACCTGGAAATGTGGTCCTGCAGACAGGGTGGGTGTCCCTTCTCACCTGGATGGCCTCCGCGTCAAACACATAAGAGTTTGCTTGGAAATGTATTCGTAGTAATAGCAGTAGCATTTGGGCAGTAGTGGGGTTTGGACGCAGGGCTTCATGCTTGCTAGGCACACATTCTACCACTGAGCCATGCCTCCAGCCCTGTGTGTTGTGACGTCTGTTAGGCATCCAGTTATAGCTAGGATGACAGGCACAGGTATGTGCCACCACACCCAACTCTGTTGGAAAGGAGACTCAAAACCTTTACTGCTCCACAAGCTTAGGACTGCAGTCCTCCCAATCTCAGCCTCTCAAGAACGCAGGATTACAGTGTGAGTCATCAATGCTGGCGATTTAGCAGGAACGGATGGTCTAACAAAAGAAATAAATTAATATGTTTAAGAACAGACAGAAGCTGGGCACCGGTGGCTTGTGCCTATAATCCTAGATACATAAGAGGCTGAGATCTAAGGATCACAGTTCAAAGCCATCCCAGGCAGGGAAGTCTGTGAGATTGTTCTCTCTGAATAACCAGCAAAAGTCTAGAAGTAGAGCTGTGGCTCAAGTGGTAGAGTGTGAGCCTTGAGTGAAAAAGTAAGGGACAGTACCCAGATCCTGAGTTCAGGCTATAGTACTGGTATTTTTTTAAAAAGGCATTAAAAAAATAGGAAATGGAAGAACACCAGAAAGAAACAAACTAACAAATGAGCCTGACACTACAAATAAAATAACTTCCCTGAAGGACTTGGGATGACAAGTCTGGCCTAGGAAGCTTCAGGAAACAAACTTCCGACTATATGCCAACAGTGTGAATGCGCAGGAGGTGCCAACAAGCTATGGGTGGCTCCGCAATCCAGAAACCATCTGCATACGCATGAAAACAGTACCATACCCCCGTCTTCTCCTGAAGAACGTTAAAAATGAGAAAAAGAGAAGGCTGAGAGGTTCTCGTTGCTGCTGAGTTGGGAGGCAAAATATCTACTTCCATGGCTCAGAAGCTAAAGACAGGAAAACAGACACGGGCACATGAGTTTGTTGGACACACAGCTGTGCCCTGTCCACAGAAAGCATCTAGAAGGAATGAAAGCCACGCAGATGAGCACACCTGGATCGCAGACTCCAGTCCAAAAACTGCAGCCCAGGCTGCTCAGAGGAACGGGACGGGGGGACACACAGGACAAGCGTTAAAAAAATAAGTCTCCTGGAACCATCAAGCAAGAAGTGGAATGCAAAGCGTGCATCTGAGAGAAGGAGGCAGTGGCTGGAGCAATAAATCGTGATGGGATTAGATTACAAGCCACAGAATAAAACAATCATTCACCGGTCCACACTGACGTAAATAACCGGCTCAATACACGGTGCAGAAGTAACTGTTCCTCCTTGAAGGGAAGTCCCAAGTGAAAAATGTGGAAGGAGAGCAGAAGGAAAACCCATCCCTAAATACACTCCAGGAAGTCACTACTACAGATGAGATACACCAATGACCCTAAGTTCACCTAGGAGTGAAAGGGATCCTAGTCCCGAAGCAGCTCCTCACCACAGGTATTAAGTACAGGGGAGAAACAGCAGGCAAAGTATGAGGAAAAACCTGCCAGACACCACTTTGTCCAAGGGACCAGGACCAAACTTCCTGGCCACAAGTCACCACAGCATCACGGCTCCCCCAACACTGCATTTATGGGGCGCCACTACTGTGGCTGTGTAGCCTTGATCCAAAATGAGAGGCATTCATCAAAATAATGATCCACTGCTGGGCACTGGTAGCTCACACCTGTAATCCTAGCTAGTCAGGAGGCAGAAATCTGAGGATCATGGTTTGAAGCCAGTCTGGGCAGGAAAGTCTGTAAGACTCTTACCTCGAAGTTAACCAGCAAAAAGCCAAAAGTGGACATGTGGCTCAAATGCTAGAGTACCAGCTTTGAGTCAAAAGGCAAATGGACAGTGCCCAGGTTCTGAATTCAAGCCCCAGGAAGGGCATACATACACAAACACTGCCTAGCCCAAGCAAGGTCATGAACTTTAAGGTAAGAAGGAGGAACCCAGATTTCGGGGCTACCAAGTATCTGGAGTCCTGAGGGTTTCCATTCCAGTCCATTATTAAAGGTGTCCAACAATGCTAACTTACCTTGCACTAATCTATTATTAATTTCATGGGGGCGTGAATTATGGCAACACTGTACCAAAGTTACCTTCTCGTACTGTACCATGTTGATTTCTCTAAATGAATTATAGTAACATGGGACTAAGGTTAATCCTTGGGTCTAATCACTGAGTTGTGATTATAGAAGGTTGGTGAGGCATGCATAGATACCCTTGAATTATTTTTCAACTTTTCTGCCAGTCTGAAAGCAATGCAACACAGAGTTTAACAAGGAGACTTCTGAGAAAGAGCAGTCCATCTTTTGAACTCACTACAGGCCAGACGTTCTGCTAGAGGCCCACGCAAGGCTCATCTCATCTCTCTGGGACGGTACTCTGCTTCTCAGATCGAAGCCAAGTCCCCTGCTTCACAGAGTTGGGCTTGTGTAGCAGGTGAGTGCTGGGTTTGAAACCCGGGCAGTCCCCTCCGGGACTGCTTCCCGCAGCCAAAGCTGTCCCTTTCCTCCTCAGCATCCTGCAGTGGGCCGGCGGGACAAACAGTGAGCTTTGGCTGAATTCTGGCTGGCAGTGACCCTACACCCACTCTTTCCTGAATTCCTGTCTTGTTGGGAGCAGGGCTGAGTGCTGAGTGCACTGTTGCTGGGCTTTCCGTGGACATCTGCAAAGTCACAGGCCAGCTCCTTTAATGTTGACTCTTCACAAGTGCAAAACAAAGCCCATTAAACAGCGTGTTCTGCCCAGGCTTGGACGACTCCCAAGCCAGAGGGCTAGTGTCCAGGCAGTGTGATATGTGCAGCCCCTCCGCCAGGCCGGGCTCTCTCACCCTGCTGTTGACCAGGGCCTGCTCCAAGCCAGCTCTGAGTCGGGGGCTGGGACAAGTGCTGCCTGGATGGATGGTGTCCTGCCCCGGCTCACAAGGCAGAAAGCACAAATAACCACCAGGTGCCAGCCAGGGAGACCAGCCCAGGCTGCCACTCACTGTCAGCCTGGTGCAGCACCTCCACAGGGGCCTTTGAGCTGAGATCTGAAAGATTTAGAGAAGTTAAATAAGGAGAAGGCAGGCAAGAGACAACAACCTGTGGAAGGCCCCGGCAGGAGAGAGATGGGATGAGGGAAGGTTGCAGAGTTCATGGCTCCCACAAGCCCCTTCGCTTCTCTTTGGTTTCTTCTTTGAGGAAGGCAGACTCATGGACCTACCAAGAAGGGCTGCCACAATGTCTCTAGTGGATTTGCTGTACCTCAGTCACTGTCATTGGGGTTTATAAGTGCAACCCAAAGGTCATTATGTGAGGAGAAAACTCCAAGTTTTGTTTACATGTAGTTTGTAGAAAATGACAAGTCAAAGCCATTTGTATACGGAGCTAAGAAGTTTACATAGTATCCTGTTCCCACAAAGACTGCATATTGTCACAGAGTCTTGGTCAACTTGCATCAGAACATTGTGAAGAAATCCCAGGCTGGCTGGGTGCCAGTGGCTGCCATCTGTCATCCTACCTACTCAGGAGGCTGAGATCTGAGGATTGCAGTTCAAAGCCAGACCAGGCAGGCAAGTCCATGGGACTCTAATCTCCAATAAGCCACCAAAAAGGCCAGAAGTGGAGCTGTGGGTCAAGTGGTAGAGGGCCAAGTCTTGAGTGAAAAACCTAAAGGATGATGCCCAGGCCCTGAGTTCAAGCCCCAACACTGACAAAATTATATGTATAGGCATTTATACATACACATATTATAAAGAAATGAACAGCTTTGGGGACCCTCTTAGGTGTGACTCAGGGGCGTAACCAGGCACACCTGGTTATCAAACTCCACCTTTACTCCGCAACCAGTGCTGTCACAGGAACATCAGCTTGGAAAGGAAGCCCTGGGCCCCGTGTGCTACTGCTGCCAGCACAGCGGCCTCCAGAGCCAGAGAGACAGTGGAAGCAACGATCGCAGGGCTCCTAGGTGGGCGGCGGGTGTGGACCATCACTGGTGAAACCGATCATTATCACCACCCTCCTGTTCCAGTTCGTGTAAACACAGGCCGAAGGGGAAACCGGAGCTGCTGCCTTCAGATGATATAACGAGAGCGCTCAGCTCGGGCGGCCTGGGCAGCTGAGCCCTGCGGAGACCTCCCACTCTAGGTGAGCCAAGGGTGAGGCCATTGATAGAATCTGGGTGCTTGTCACACCTGACTGTGTGGTGACCCATGTGAGACAGTGCTGCTGGTGCTCCACCAGGATCTCTGAGTGTGTGGGACAGGGCTATACCCAGCCCATGGAAGGCACTTGAAGAACTTGTGAAAATCACAAGCAGGGCTTCTAAGTGTGCGCTGGGTGGGAGGGACGGGTGTGGGGGTTCTCTGGGCTCCTTGCACACCTACACGTCACTAAGTCAGCTGGCAGCTCTGCCACGGCCTCCTCTCCTACCTGAGCACCTCACCACCCCACAAAATTTGTCTTTCTGGGATTCCGGGGTCCTCTCCGATACCCCGAACCTGCACTGCTCCAACCGCTGGTTACTGGAATACAGAAAAGAACCCGGGATCAATAACAGAGCAGCGACTCAGTCCTCAGATCCCAGGAGACCTGAGTCTCCTTGCTTAAGATGACTATAGACAACCACACCCTTTGGGCCCTTCTTGATGGACTTCCCTCAAAAGACACACTTGGGGCTGGGAGTGGCTTAGTTGTATAGTGCATGTGGTATAGAGGTATAGCATGCATGA